GGAAAAGTTCGTTTGGGGCTGATTCCCGAAGAATTCTTCCAGTTCCTTTATCCCAAAACTGGCGTAACAGGACCCTATGTGCTTGGAACCGGACTTATCCTATATTTTCTGTCCAAAGAAATATATGTGATTACTGCAGAGACCTTCTCTGCCATATCAATAATAGGGTTGCTTATCTATGTAGTTAAAAAATATGGTGCCTCTATTGGAGAATTTGCTGATAAACTCAATGAGCAAAAAATTGCCCAACTAGAAGAGGTGAAGCAGGCTTCCATCAAACAAATCCAGGATGCAATTGATATGGAGAAGTCACAGCAGGCCCTGGTTCACAAGCATCATTACCTTTTTGATGTCCAGAGGAATAACATTGCTATGGCACTGGAACTTACTTACCGGGAACGGCTGCACAGAGTATACAAGGAGGTGAAGAATCGCCTGGACTATCACATCTCTGTGCAGAACATGATGCGCCGAAAGGAACAAGAGCACATGATAAACTGGGTGGAGAAGCACGTGGTGCAGAGCATCTCTGCACAGCAGGAAAAGGAGACAATTGCCAAGTGCATTGCAGATCTAAAGCTGCTTGCAAAGAAGGCTCAAGCACAGCCAGTTCTGTAAATGCATCTATCCCGGTGGAGACAGCTAGGAGCAATTGACTAAAGAAACTAGTCCATGTAACAAAATCTTTCTGTATTGCTGTCTACTGAAGTTACACTTAACCTTTCCTAAAAATGAAAAGTTTGTTTCATATAGTCAGAGAATTAAAACAATCTCTTGGCCAACGAGATGTTTTTCATCCTTCTTGCTCTGTATTTTGAGTTCCATGATCACTTTTGAATGAGCAGTTTGCTGTTAATAAAATTTGTTGGCTGACTAATGATTACCAAAAAAAAAAAATAAATAATAATTGCTGGCTGGCTGGCTGGCTGGATGAATCAATGAATCAACTTTGTGTGTGTGTGTGACTTGTATAAAGTGTAGACAGGGTTGGAGATGAGTAAGGAAAAATAAAAACATGATGCTTTTAGATTCCGTGGTAACAAACTTTTCCAAATATATTTTTAAAAAGTACTTCAGATCACAGGATTTTAGGGCTAAATGTTGTGCAAATTGTATACAGGATAAGTTTATCTGAAGGGAAGAGGAGATGACAGACCTTTACTGATCCTGACCACAGGTATACATTTCATATTAAGAACACAGTTTTATCAGATAATACTGTTATATTTTATTAAAGTGAAATTTACATATAAATTCTACTCTGGTTGTGATAATATTAGCTAATGCAGAAAGGAGAAAATTAATATGAGACAGAAATCAACGCAGCGTCAAGGACAGGGACTGTTGGTACCGCGGTGTGAGGAGAGCCTTGATGTATGCCAAATCTACGTTCACATTCCAATTTTAAATTTTCTCGCTGTTTTAAAGCTACAGTAGTAATCCGGCATTTCGCACTAACCACGTGTCAGACTGTGTTTGAAGTGCTTGCAGTGACATTTTCTCAGTCTTACGATGGCCTTATGAGACAGGCATTGTTACACCCCATACGCATGTGGAGAGGTCCACGTTCAGAGGGGAAGGAACTTACCCACGCAGCATGCTCAGTGAGCAGGGAAACTCGGTCCTGTTTGAAATGCAACCACTCTAAAGAAAGACATGTATCATATGATCTCACTGATATGAGGAATTCTTAATTGCAGGAAACAAACTGAGGGTTGCTGGAGTGGGGGGTGGGGTGGGAGGGATG